AACCTGGGAATACTTCACAAAGCCTGGAAGATCTGGTGAAATGTCACGAGAAAATCCAGTTTTGTCTGTGTTGCAAAATACCCACCTGTCTTTTCACATTGCCTCATTCCTAGCTCTCCATTTTCTACTGCACTACTCATAGCGACACACAAGATGAAAAAGACCTGTTTCACCACTCATCCAGTCTCATCTCTCAACCTCTGGTGAAACTAGACCCAAACCAGGGGAAATGAGAGAAACAGAGAAGATTAAAGATACAGATGTACGTACATACACTCAGGCACACGCTGCCTCTTTCAACCTGGCTGTGCTGCAAGGAGGAGGTGATTTACCTGTACGGCACCACTTAACGCCGGGCTGTTAGTGCTGCCAGCCAAAATGTTCTCAAACCCCAGGGCCTTTGTCTAGCCATGTATTTGTTGTTATTTTTAATGGTTATTAACACTGTTACCTTCAAAGCAAGCGAGTAAGGATGCAGAGCCTAACCATGCTCCAGTTCTGCAAGGAATTACACAAGCATTTGCATTTCAGCTTGGGCAAAGCAAAGCCTTGTCCTCCTCCCTGCATTATTCAAGTGCCTCTCCTGTCTTTCAGTGCTTCATACTACAAATATGTATCCTCCTTCTATTTGTTTGAGCCTGTAAGCTGCAAAGCCCTGCACTTGTAGAGGCCCACCTTGTGCACCGTTAGTGGCATTTATTTTACATTAGCCCTACTCTGAAAACACATTTTGTGGGATATTTTGCCAGCTGGGCCCAAAACTATTAATCCATTTTTAAAATGAAGACCATTTTGTTTTTAATCACACACTTCTATTTTGAGTTGGGTGCACTGTAATCCATGGAGTTCTGTAATTTTCCACTTCATTTATTTTGGATTTAATGAGCTGGTAATAATGTATATTTCCAGCTGAAATGACTGCCTGAAATGTGGAGCAGAAAGTCACAGAAGTAAAGAACTTGGGCAGGGAACGTTGCTGCCAGAAGTTTTATGGAAATAAATTCAGCAACATTAAGACACAGAAGATTCAAGAGAAATCTGCCAGCTATCACAGAGTGAAAGCCATGGATAAGAGTTGTTTTTCCCTTTTTATTCGTTTTATTAAAATATTTTTGGTACTAACTGCTGTGTTAGGCTAGACCATTGAAGAAGTCCTGTGGCAACTCAGCAGAGCACCAATTACAGCCATGATTTCTGAGTGCAGAGAGGAAATCCCCTTGTCATTAAAGCCTTTGGCCAAGCTCCCATTGGAATCAGCCTGGGAAGACCTGGATGATGCACCTCCCAAGTCAGGCTCTTATTCTCCATGTTGGCAGCTTGGACAGGGGCGTGATTTTTGAAGGCTCTGAGCAACCAGTTTTGGAAGATGCTTGGAAATTAGGCCACTTAACTAGATGTACAAATATGGGGAACTGTTTTGTACCTTGAAGTTCTTTCACAGATTACAGACTCAAACAGCTCTTCCTCTACTCCAGGAGAGCAGCAACTTCTTGCTGAGCAACAGCAACCAAAAGTTTCACCTGTTAAAATGGTCATGTCTGGTGTGTGTTCTTCTGCTCCCTCTGGGCAATTACAATTGACACTGTCATGTCATTAAACCATCAAAATCCTTTTTGGTTTGCCAGAGATGGCAAGGATTGAATAGATACGAAGTAGCTTTGCTTCATGTGAAAACACACTGGGTTTTCAACTTGGTTAATTTTCAAAAATTCCAAAAAGCTGCACCTTCTTGTATAGTACCTTTTGAAATATAACAACAGGTACAAAATCACCTCAGCTGTCCCTTCTCGATCAGTCCCACGCAGTGCCAGAGAAGGGGCAGCACTTAGAACAGCTATCTTAGACAAACATGTTCACTGTTAGCAGACACGAGCCAAATGTGTCTGGCATGGTCCTTCCAGCCCGGTCATGCTGTGTCATCTACTGCTCAAGAAGGAACTTGGCAAAAAAAAATCCTAGTCTGCCTCTTTAACAGTGAAACTGCTTTTAAAGATGATGTTTAAATCATTAGTTTAAATGCTACATTCACAGTCCTGCTCTGCAAACAGAAAACAAAAGCTGATTAGCCAAAGACATTTTCCTCTGTAATTAGATTCACTCCTCAGTTAAAAAAAAAATAAATAAAAACCAACAAAAAAACCAAAACAAAACAACACAAAATTCGTAAGGAAAAAAAGTCATGTGGTATATTTTCCCCGCTCTTCTCAGAGTCCTCTGAATAATGTGATTGTGCTAATTGGTACCCATTAGGGCAGGAATCAGAATCCCACTGCCCCAAATACACTGCCTTTTCCTGATAATTACAGTGCCAGCAAATGACCCCCCAACAGTTTCAGGCTTAATCACAGAGAATCCTATATATAGTGTAATGCTGCATTATTCAAAAAGGTAATGAAATTCCAGGAAACATCAGATGCAGCAGGTACATGAAGATAATTTTGTTTTTATAACCAATTTCAGTCAGATAAATACTAGAATCCTTTCCAATTTTCCCCCCATGAAACTAAAGTGTCACTGAGATTTACAGCCCCCTCAAGTTCTCTTTTCAGAGGAACATTCATTTACATAAACAGATAATCCCAGATAAAAATTTCCATTAGACAAAGGTGAAATGGATCAATTTTCTCTGCCAAGACAAATCTTAAATCTTAAACAGATAGGGTCATTATTACACCAGGCCCATTTCAGAAATAATGTATTAAAAAAAAAATCAGCCGATAGCAGCCATTTCCAGCTTTCCAATTATCTTTAAGAAAAGCTTATTCTGTGGACAATAAAGCACATTACTGCACAATATGATACAGTCCATAAAGATCACAATGTTTTATGAAAGGTTAAAGAAAGCTCAGCACATTTAGGGGAATGTCATAACCCACAAAGTCTTTCAAGACTTAACCAGATCCTCGTGCAGGCTGTGCCAATACTGTGCTGCCCTCCTGCCTTCACAGCAGGGCACGAGGGAGCATCTGGAAATTGGGGGGGGTCACGTGCTGTCCCACGGCAGGGGACAGAGGTGCTGGCACAGCTCCTCTTCCTCGGGGAGGGAGTGCGTTACCCACCCCTACTCCACGTGTCAGGGAGGAAGAGATGGTCGCTGAGGACACCACACCACGGGGTCCCTCTGCCCTTGTCCTCAGCCCACAGGGACACCTGGCACACACAGAAACACGGACAGAGGTCACCGTGCTGGCCCTGCCCACTCCAGGCGAGGCTGAGCACTAACATGGAAGGGGCAGAATTGCAGCCTCTCCTCCCCAGCACCCAGCGTGGCCCTCCCTGCCGTGCCGGAGCAGAGCACCCAGCTCTGCAGCTCCTGCCCCGGCTGCAGGGGGAAGGCAGCAAGGCTGGGCAGCCACGGCAGGAACACCCTCCCGTGGCAGGGCGGCCACGCTCTTCTCCAGTGTCACACAACTTTGTCAGGCCCCTGGGAATGGAGTTTATGAGGAGTGACAACAGCAAGGGGGAAGAAATCACTGCCTAATAGACACAGCAGTCAAAGCAAAACAAGCAGCAACTTACCCGACTCGATTTTTCATCTAAAAGGAATCAGATTTATTTGCCATTTAACTAACTGCTCCTTAGAGCCAGCACATGAGGAACAGGGACAGGAGTGCTATGGGACTGAGCGATACCTGGGCTAGCGGCAGGAAACAAGATCCCATCACAAGAGATAACCTGCAGGAAAGCTTTATCCTGCTCAGTGCTAAATCCAGTCATATAGAGCCCTAAGCCAGCTGAGGATCACAGGTGAAAAGGCTGCACAAATCCCTGGGAGGGTTTTAGGGCTGAAAGCTCAGTGGGACAGAGGCTGCCGGGTGCCATTTGCCCTCACAGCAGCCAGCACCCAGGATCTCCGAGTCCTCTTCTCCCTGGCCATCACCACAACGGCTAGTGCCAAAACTATGGAGCAACAGCAACTCATTCCCCTCTGGAAGGAAGGATACCTCCCATCTAAATGCAATAAATATGGGAAACTGCACCAGAAATTCTCAATCTTCTCTTCAAGGCTCTTATGGTTCAGCCACCAAAAATAGACACATACCAAACATCAAAAGCAAAGTCTAATTATCTGGAATACCTAATTGTTAATCAAACGAATCTTTGCATGAGCAGCAATGAAAAGTCCCTTCCTGCAGTGCTAGAAATGCTTTCACAGACATCAGGAGAAAAACCTGACATGACCCAGCTAAGCCATTAGACTGTTCACTACAGCTCTATCAGCTCACCAGAGAGCTGGCAGCTAAAAGATTAACACCTCTCTGATATCAGTTCCAGTCAGATTTTGTAAGCCATGTTTGTGCTTCTATTTCTGTCCTACGAGAACACGACAGAAAGCCTGTTGTCACCTTCATCAGCTTGAAACTACTTGTACACTACTAAAAGAATCACTTTGTGCAGAATTTCTGAATGACTACTGAAACTGTAACAGAATGCCTTCTGTATAAAAAAGGGGGTCTTCTCTAAAGTGAATAAATGCCCCAATGCTAAACTTAAATTAAAAATAATCACAGAAAACACATCTGGTCTAGCCCACCTCAAACAGCAAAGAGCCCAGAAACAATAGCACTTGTTTTCAACTTTATGAACTCTCTTAGCCCGTGTGTAAATCACTACAAAGATAAAGAAGCAACTCATCTCTACCAGCCCTCTCTTTCAGACACACACACACACACTGCTCTCACTGTCTGTGCTGGATAAGAGGTGGGACATTTTCAAGAGGGACAGTGTTTGACTTGCAATGGGTTTATGCTGAGAGGAACAGACCTCCAACAGGTGCATGATTTACTGACCACTGCACAGAGGTCAGTGTAGAGGAGGGACTTCAGTTGTCCAAACAGGGGTCATTGGATCACCTTTCAACTCGAGATCTGGTCCCACACACTACTAAATAAAACCCAGAAAAAACCCAAACAGCCCAAGCAGGCTTCTCCTATGAAGCAAGACAACTGCAGTGGATCAAGATGGGGTCTCATCTGTCCTGTTGTGCAACATTTCAGCAGAATTTTAATTGGCTGAAGATGCAGAAATCACATGAAAAGAAAAATAATGTTGATTTCCAAAAGTGTCAGGCAATGTGATTAAAACTGTCAGGAGCAGCAATCAGCATGGCTTGAATACTTAGAACTTGCAGTTCACTAGAAGACAGTACATGCCCGGCTTCATAATTTCAGAAAATGGCTTCAATTTTGAGCTGAGAAAATCTTTCAAGTAGAGCCATACTTCCTTTAACTGCTATCAGAAACTTTTTTTTAGTGTGTGGAAATACTTACTATTGCCATCACTGGTATATCAGTCATAACATCTAATGATGTGGAGATTGTTGCCTTATAAAATTCACAGCTGGGTAGCTACATGGCTCAAGGCTAAAACCTATTTTAAATCCAGTGTTTTAGGAGGGAGAATGTTTATTAAAACATTTTGCCCATTAAAAATATATGACATATCATCGGTCATTCCATGTGATGCAGTGCCAGCCCTTTTTTAGGCAGTCCACTTGGGATGACTGCCGAAAACCTGGCAAGTCTGTTTGACAAGTCCACATCCTAATAATTTACTCATCCATCAAAAAAAAAAAAAAAAAGGAGGAAAAAAGGGCATTTCAGCAGCCTGGAAGAACCTCAGCAGTCCCTCTGACATGGTGTGCCCAGAACTTGCTTGCACACACAGCCACAGTTGGTCTCTTCACGCTGACAGTCCCACACTGACACGCCTGCTTGATCTCCTCATGGCACAAGTTACACTGACATAATAATGAGGCTGCAGGTCTTTTTTCCTGTTGAGATTTTTTTGGAAATGTGGTGGAGAGAGAAATGTTGATAAATATTCTTTCAGCGACTCCACGGGCATTTGGCATCCGCTTCCATGAACTGATGCATGTCGTAACCTGGAGAACACAAGGATGAATACTTGGAGGCTGAACAAGAACCCCAAAATCACTGTCTCTTCTACCATTCCCCATGTGCACTGTGTAAGGAGAGACGCTGGGACTGCACGGGGACACCCCTGTCACAGGTGAATGTCTCTCTCAAACAAGAACTCCCTCTGAAGCCAGTGGGATCACTCAGGGAGGGACTGATCACTAACCATCTGATCCCACCTTACAGCCAGCTGGCACATCAACTGCTGTTTGAGAAAGTTGTCTGAAAAACTGACACGAAGTTGAAACTGCTTGGCTATGGAGAGATGGACATGCGGCCGAGGTCATCTATTCTCTCAGGTTACTGCCGCCCATCCCGTAGCTCCCTCTCAGCCTGGCTGGCAGCAGCAGGTCTCTCCATGACCTGAGGAACAGGGCAGCCCTTCCCAGCTGCCTGCAGCAATGCTTCCATTGGGATTTTGCCTCCTGCAGTGGCACAGCCAGCAAGGTCAAGCAGGAACTAAGAGGTCTCACTCCCTGAACTGCTGATACAGCTTCTGGATACTCAAGGAGGGTGAGGATGAGAGCAAACTGGACTGCCTGAACACAAGCGGGATGGCAGGTTCCCAGATCCAAGGTTGCAGCCAGGTTCTGTGTGGTGCTTGCCCTGTCAGGCCTAGCCAGACTTCTCACAGGTGGCAGAGTTACTTGCTCTGCCTGCTCAGTACACAGAAGAGAGGGCCAAGCAGAGAACAAGAGCTGTTAAAATGGCTTTCCTACTGCAGCAGAGGTTGCTCTGGGAAGTTCAATACAGTCATGTCCTGGGGCCCCAAGAAAGCACAACCCATCCAGTATGTCTTGGTTCTGAGACCCCAGCTGAGCCTTTGCTCTGGACGAACTCTCCAGCAAAAGGAACACCATGTTTTATATTTGAAACAGAATGTCACCACTGCTAACAACCAGGAAAATAACCCTGACCTCATTGCACATTCCCTTGTCTGACAAAGCATGGATACTGTTATTCATATTTGTACTGTACAAATGTTCCCAAAATGTCAGCCTTTCCTAATGACCCTAAAGAGACTGAAAATTAAAGTGCAGTTCTGGGCAGGGAAGCGACTCTATTAAAAAGAGACAGAGAGAGCCTGTGGCCATTGCCCATAGCTGTTCCGAGCTGCCTTCCAAGTCCTATATATTAACCAAGCCTATGCACAAAAGCCATGTTTTTAACTACTGTCAGCACTGCACAGTCACTCCAGCAGCAATCGAGCAAGCTGTTCTGCCTCATGCCTCATCACCATTTCTCACACTCTGCATCAAAGCACCAACATTAGCCAATTCAGCTGCCCTTCAAACTTCCAGCTCCAGTCAGGAGGAAGCATCTGCGGCCGTTCAGCTCCTTGCGAGGCTGCCGAAAAAAATCCCAGCTTGCCAGGAATACCCAGAGTAGCCAAGCCCGATGGCTCTCCACGACATATGGCCCTAGGACAGGCCAGAGAGCTGTGAGCAGTGCCCCATTCCTACACTGCGCTCCGGTTCCCACTCCAAACCCCTCCCGGCAGCACGCATCAGCTGCAGGCTCTCCCAAGGCACTGCTGCCGCTCAGATGTCGTGAGCAGCAGCTGTCAGCGGGGGAAGAGGCACCCTTCACTTGTGGGTAAGATCACTTCCCAGTGACACAGCACAGGCTGCCACCACAGCGGCTCCAGTGCCCTGTCTGCTGCTGAGCAAAGGGCTTGCACTCCAGCAGTCGCTCCGACGGCAAGAATGCCGTCAGAAGGCAGCCATCAGCTCAGCAAGCTGGAGGAAAACAGGACACAGGATCAAGATGGGCTTTGGGCGAGAGCACCACAACTCTAACTCCCCACAGCTGAAGGTGCGCAGCGCAGACAGGGAGTTAATCGCTGCCGCGTTTGTCCCAGAACAGACTGTGCTACCGTCATTCCAAGGTCACAGAGCAAGGAGCAGAAGTGGAACAGAATCCTCAAGCCTGGTCAAATCCAAGTGTTCCGACAGCACTTTTGGGACACGCTGATGAGTCTCGTATGACCGACGAGATGCAGTACATAGCACGGTTTGTGAGTCGAAGGAAATGGCAAGGAGGATGCAACTGGAGAACAACAGAGCAAAATCCCCAAAAATGCTTCTGAGACTGGGAAACAATCTTCTATGGACCCTGCTTAAAGTTTGACAACTTAAAAACCTCAACTTAAAAACATCTGACAACTTAAAAACATCAGCTTAAGTATATGGAATTAATAGATGAAATGGACAAATAATTTGAAGAAAAAAAGGTAAAAATCGGGCAGGAAAGCAGGCTACCAGTTTCCTTCTCTCTCTTCTCTGCAGAGAGCTTTTAGTCCAAATAATGGCTAAGGAGGAGCGTTCCAGGGCTCCCAGGCCAACACTGAGATGGGACTGGGGCATCTACTATCATGAAAAGTAGCCAAAAGATGTCACAAAATAATGGAATAAAAATAATTGGAGGGCTTGGCTATATACTGCACTTGGTTCTTCACCGACTTCCCAGCACTTCACCCTTCCCATACACTGCCTTCTCCACACATCTTGGCACTTAAGAGTCTCCGTGACTTAAAGAAGCCAGATAGAGAATGAGGATGAGAGAGGGAACATGAACTGTGTGTCAAATAGATGATGTGATTCCAATTTTAGTACTTAAAATAATTGAGGAAAATCTAAAGTCTCCTAAGACAAAGTAGAGTAGCAAAGGCAAAAACCCAATCCTGGCAGGCAAGCAACAGCATCCACAGTGCAGTCAGCAAAAAGACAATAATTTCCTCCCCATTTCCTGTATCTTTATGAAGCATTTTCAGAGGCAAGGCAAACCTATATTTTCATATCTCCAATTTTCAAACTATACCACTGCTACTTAGCAGAGATTTTGGCATCTAGCAAGACAGCCAGGAAAAAAAAAAATCATGATTTGCAATGTGCTCATCTTGGCAGATGAGGAAAAAAAACAAGGCAAAAGGAGGTACAGTGAGATGATCCCAAGTGCCAGTACCCGGGCCTTGTTTGGGATTAAAGCAGCACTTCACGGATCAGATATAAGAGTGCATTAAAAGTCTGGGAGAGTCCAATTATTTCAGCATAGAAATCCTCATCAGAGCCAAATGAGAAGTTGTAAGCATTACCACAGACACACAAACAACTACCCACAGCAGCCAGTCAGCAACAGTGAGGATTTATAACAAAACCCACAACCACAGGATGACTTTACAGAAAACCTGTTCTGACTTTTAAGTGTCTTGGAAACACGATCCCCTTTGGGAAATCTACTGTCAGGCTCTGACTGGGTGAGGGGAGCCTAGGACTTCTACAGGAATGGTCTGGGTTTTTTTTAGCAATGTCCAAATCCCACATGCTTCTCCAAAAGTGAAATGAGCTTATGGGCCAAAGCTGTCCACAATTCCTGGAGTTTCACCCTCATTATAAATACATCAGCTAAACTCACCACAACGAGAAAAATAAAACATCTCTACTCAAAATAGTTGGTCTCAAAATGCCTTCTGTCATAGCATAAATTCCAGCTGGGATAAAATTTTATAGGCAGGCTGGAGTTAGGGAGACCTTTACATATGAAAACCAAAAAACCCACACCCTATGGCCCAAAAATTCAGGACTTCACGCAAAGGACTTTTTTCCCTCTACCATTTTCACTAGAAGCAGACTGTTCCGCTAGGAAACACCATCCCACACGATTAAGCAGCACTGCAAACGGCTTCTGTCTTTCCCTGAAAATCCCTTAAATTCTCAAAAAAAATTCCTTTACTTCCACCTTCAGAACCTATCCAGAGGAAAGCCATTTGTCAATTACTTCCAGTTCTTTTGGTTTAGGACTCTATTACGTTGCACAATTGTTCATGTGCATCTGCTCAACACGGAGGGAAAAGATGTTGCTAAATTGGAAGCAGAGCAGTGGGTTGGGCGGGAGAGGTGCCTTCTCCATTGTGTGCACAGGGAGGTTCTGCTGACTGCAAGCACTCGCACGGCAGGAGAGAGCCCCAGTGCCATCCCTGCTCTTGCTACTGGCAGCTGTTCTCTTATCACCAAAGAGAATTTATCGCACCACTGACAGATGCCGAGATTCAGAAGCTGGAGCTGAAAGCCAAGGGGATTGAATCAGAAAACAAAAACGCCCCCCCCCCAAAAAAAAAAAATTAGAAAAAGGAAGGAAGAGCCCTACCAAACCAAGTCACTTCAGTGCACACAGCGCACGGCGTCTCTCCACGGGGAGAGCAGAGAGCCGGAGTCACCGCGGCAGCTGTCAGGCAATGTGTCTCAGGCACTCCTGGAAGCTGCTCAGCACTCAGCTGAGGAGCTGCAGGAAACCACGGAGAGCTTAGCCACAAAAATCCTAACAGGGACAGTGTGAGGAAGGAAGACCTTCAGGGAAGAGGGTCTTGAAATCAAGCTTTCTTGGTATTAAGGTTGTTATTGAACACAAGGTACTTCAGTTCCTAGTGCTGTCTCCTGAAGGGAGCTGGTGGATCAGGGGTGTCCCAGGATTTCTGTTCTTACACACACACACACTTTCTCTCAAAGCCTCTTTGACTCCCACACAGCTACGAACCTTATTTTTTTATATGTGACTCCCCCGTGTACCAACATCCCGGAGGCCATCTCACAGCAGCTCCAGCCACTTCCAAGAACAGGAGACAGAATCCCTGCGCTGCACAAGACAAGGGGCTTTACTATCTCCCTGTCCTGGTGTCATGTCAGTAAACACGCAGTGCACACATGGCCCTGTGCACGTGGACACTGAACCAAGAGCACTTTACACACATGAGCTACACGGCCTCTGTGCCCATAAACCAGTGTCTGTACTCAAGCCACAGGCTTTGCATTGAAACGCCCCTGCACACAGCATTCCAGAATATCCCTCCTCCCTCCCGTCCCCAGGGAAAACGCAGCCGTGTTTATCACAGGCAAAGAAACTCCGAGCTATGCACCGACACGGCTATGGGCATGATGCAAAGGAAGACAGGGATGTCTTCCACCGACATTCCCGAATGCATTTTCCCTACCCAGGCAGGCTGATAACACGTTTCATCCCTGGACACTAGTCTGCTTTTTACGGAAAACTCTAAACAAGCTAAGTTCTCCACACGAGCACATTCCAACAGTGGTAAAAGGAGTCCCAGGGCAACTCCCATTTCTTTACTTGTAACAAACCCATGAAAAGCCCCCAAACAAAACTCAGGAGGAGGCATTTTGCCAGGCACTTCAGAAGATGATCAAACACGGAGGCACAGCAACTTGAGGGACACCAGCACCGCCCCGATGTGCACTGGTAGGCGTCTGCAAGGCCCGGGCCCCGCCGGGTGCGCCCCCAAGTTCTATGGAACGAGGATGAGGATGAAAAGGCAGCCCGAGGCTGCCAGGAGGCAGGTCCAGGTGCGGCGGCAGGACTGGCGGTAGCGCGGAGCCAGGCTGACACCTGGAGGGAAAGCTGGGGATGAACCGGGAGGATGTTGATAGGGAGCGCCGTGCCCTGAACCGCCTGCCTCGGGTCCTCCTGTCACCCACCTCTGCCTCTGCCCCCGCCCCCTCCCGACCCGCTGCAGCACAGGGAAATCAGAGGCGGAAAAAACACTTTCAATGTCTCAAAAATCAGCACCGAGAATATTTGCACCCTTTCAGTTTTAAAACTGAACCGCTTTGGGTTTTGCTCACATTCCGCAAAGAGCATATGAGATATTTGGTTTGGATCATTATTCTTCCCCTGGTTGCTCCCTGAAAAACCAGAGCAGCGCACAAACAGATGCTGTCAGATGTCACACAATCAGACCAGGTTTCCTTACCAGCTCGACTCCAGGTTTCCCGTGGCAGAGTCCTACAACTCTTGTTCCTTAAGTGATTTAAACGTGGTGCAGACACATAGTAGCAGCTCGAGCTGGTGCCTCGGGCAGGGCCCCCTACAAAGGATTCCCCGGACGTTTATCCCCTCCCAATCTGTGCCCCCGGAGTCTGGGAGCTTCCTGCTGAGTCATCGGCTCTCGTGTCTCGGCGCAGCCCGTCACCCGCCCGGCGCCGCAGGGCCCCGAGCCCCGCCGAGGTAAAAGGACAGGTCACAGCCCCTTGCCGGGGGCTGCAGCCACTCCCCCATCCCGAGCACAACCTGCAGCTGCCCCCGAGCTCCCTGCCCTCAATGAGTCCCTCAGCAGGCAGGTAGGGCTAACAGACAGTTCTGCTCACGTGTGACCTCCTCACCACCACCCCCCCTCCGAGAGCCTTCCCTACCTCTGCCTGCACAGATCGCTTCAGCCCCAACAGAAAAATATGGAACGTCTCAGGCACGTTCATCTTTACTCCCAATTAAGCTTATCTGCCAGTAAAATTCGGGATCTGGGGTAGGAATTAGGGCAAGCTACTTACTTACCCCAGAGGTCAATTTAGGTCAAAGCTATCTCGCACAGATGGCTAATTTCAATCCCATACACATACAACACAATTGTTCAATAAGCTCAAAATAAATAGTGGAAGTAATTCATTTAAAGCTGCCCTAATTGTTTCTCAATTTTCTCTATTAATTTGACCTATAACACTTCTCCCATCAAAGCTTCAAAGCTTTAACTTAACAGCCAATTACAGCTTCTTTTAGAAAAAAAAAGTGCTGTCAGCTCTGATTGCTTCTGACTGAACCCTTTGAAGCGCTTGGGAATTGATTTAAATTGCACGGGGCCTAGAAACAAAGTGCTCTTTCCAGGTGTAGTGTTCTCAGAGAGCTAATGAGTCAGGGGACAATTAAGACTAATTAAGATTTTTAACTTGGTAGCAACTTTGTGCGCACCATTTGGCTTGAGGACAGTGAGTTACCGCTGAAGCGAACAAGGAATCTCTTAGTGTGTCAGCAGGAGCTGGCAGGAATGCACTCAGTTTTTCCCCAGCAGTGAGAGGTTACCAAATTAACGTGGCAACTGTATTCTTACTCCTGCAAAAACACCTCCCTGCAGAAACATCTATCCTCTCCCTCATTCTCTAAGCAAGCGTTGCACAGAGAAAAGCCAGTGAGACACCTTTTAGGAAAAAGATGGTCATCATATAGGGATCGTTACTGTTAGCTTGGCCCCGCTACTCTGGTTCAGGGATTTTAACTGCCAAGTACACTAGGTTGGCCAAAACAGGGCCAATTCCTGTCAGTATGGATATTAAACCCCCATCATTCTTACCTTTTACTTCACATTACACACCTCTGCCATGGGAAAATCCTTCACACTCGTCACACCACTTGGTTTAACAAGACAAAAAGCCTTGGCAGAGTTCTGCACGGCACAGGACCTGTGGGGAGGGGCAGGCGAACCACAGTTACTCAGTGGGGCACACTTGTTTGCAACTTCGAAAACAAGAGCCACAGTACACCTAGGGAATTACTTCTTTCCCCCTACCCCTTTAATTTTTTAAATTAGGAAAAAAAAAATATTAAAAGGAACTGGTAAATAACCCCCAACTGTTCTTACTGAGGCAACGCACTCCGCTTGGATGAGTCGTCCTCGTGACTAAAACTTTCTTGGTACCTCATGGGGTACACAGGGAAAACCCCCAAAAGGCAATAATCATGATCACAATTAACTTCAGCTTGCTCTTCTACGGTTCAAGTGCAACTCCCGCTGGGAACGACAACCCTCAGCATCGTTTCACCCGGCAGGTGCATTCCTGGCCTCTCCTCACAAAGGTTTGCAGCCTCGAGCCTGAGGGGAACGGCTAACTGGCTCAAGGGCACAGCTCCGACATTCCGGGGGCCCGGGGGAACCCAGCAGGTCCTGAAGGTCTGAGGGGCCTCAGAGGATCCCGGAGGGCCCCGGGCAGTGCCGGAGGATCCTGGGTGTCTGAGGGGTCCCGGATCCCGGAGGATCCCGGCAGTCTGAGGGGTCCCGGATCCCGGAGGATCCCAGAGGATCCCGGAGGATCCCGGCGGTCTGAGGGGTCCCGGAGGATCCCAGAGGATCCCGGAGGATCCCGGCGGTCTGAGGGGTCCCGGATCCCGGAGGATCCCAGAGGATCCCGGAGGATCCCGGCGGTCTGAGGGGCCCCGGGCGGCGCGGGCGGCTCTCGGGCGCCCCCTGGCGGCCGCTGTGGCGCCGCGCAGGGAGGAGCCGCGCAGTGACGCCATCGTTTGGCGCCGCGCGGTGACGCCATCACGGCCGATCCTGACCCCGCTCCCCGTCCCGCTCCCGGTCCCTGGCCCGTGAGGGGGGCGCGGGACGGGCCGATGCGGCGGCGGGCAGGATGCACCAGAAGCTGCTGCGCAGCGCGCACTACATCGAGCTGGGCAGCTACCAGTACTGGCCGGTGCTGGTGCCCCGCGGCATCCGGCTGTACACGTACGAGCAGATCCCGGTGTTCCTGAAGGACAACCCCTACATCACCGACGGATACCGCGCTTACCTGCCCTCCCGCCTCTGCATCAAGAGGTGAGCGCGCCCCGCGCCCCCCCCGGTTACCCGGGCCCCGCTCACCGCCTGTCCCGCGTTGTGTCTCCTCGCAGCCTCTTCATCCTCTCCAACGAGACCGTCAACATCTGGAGCCACCTGCTCGGCTTCCTGCTGTTCTTCACGCTGGGCATCTACGACCTGACGGCCGTGCTGCCCGCCGCCGGCGCCTCCCGCGAAGACTTCGTCATCTGCTCCGTCTGCCTCTTCTGCTTCCAGGTATGCGCGGGCCGGGAGCGCCCCGCGGGGTTAAAGCCCCTGGCACCGTGCGGGCACAGCGCCTTTGAACCGCACTGCGCTGCAAGGGACAAGTCTCGCTGGGTCGGTCGCGTCTCCTTGCAATAAAGCGGGGAGGACTGAACAGAGCTGGCACAGGAGAGAGCCTGTGGAAAAACAAGGGCAATGTCAGGGCTGTGTCTCAGAGCTTCAGCAGCTTGAGCCGTGTCTGACGAGGCTCCTAGACAGCATCAGGTGCTGCTGGAAAGGGCCTCCCACCGGGGCACGGGCATCAGCCATGGCCTGATGGTCAGGTAGGGCAGGAGGGCTGGTGTTCTGACTTCTGAGCTGGTCCAAGCATGAGCTTCCATGTCAGATATGGACATGGAGGCACAGCAGATTTCAGGTGTGTCACATGTGGCTGCTGAGGCTCCTGTGATGGACACTGGCCCTGCCAGAGCACAGAGCTGAAGGGCACTACATGTGTTCTCTGCCAGTACAGGATGCCTGGGTACAGCCACAAGTGGGGAAAGCTCCCTCGCTGGCTAGAAAAGCACTGCTCTTGTTCTTCTCCCTCCTCCTGCCGAGGGTCACAGAGGAACAAACATTTCTTGAGGAAAGAATTTGATGCCAGCCTAGGAGCAAACACCCACACAATGTGCCGGGGCCCAGTGGCCAGCTCGAGCTGCAGGGCTGAAGCTTGTGTGCTCCCTGTTGGTTTTTAAGGAATTAATCATCCTCGTTTGAACCTCTGTGTAGGTCTGTATGCTTTGCTCAGTAGGATATCACCTGTTCTGCTGTCACCGCTCGGAGAAGACCAGCCGGCGATGGATGGCACTGGATTACGCAGGAATTTCCATCGGGATCCTGGGCTGCTACGTGTCAGGCGTGTTCTATGCCTTCTACTGCAGTAACGTGAGTCGGGAGCATTGTCCATGCAGCACTTAGTTCTTGTGGTCCTGTTGTTGCTTTCATGCTGTAGGAAGGGGGCTTGTGGCAGGTGTCCAAGCAGAACAGGAGTGGAGAGAGAGGGGTGGGAACTGAAACATGTCCTTCTGGCCCCAGCAGAACTGTGCTGGCTGAAGGCACAGGCAAATGCAGGTTTTCCTTTCCAGCTGTCAACTGCAAAAAGCCTCAAGAAAATAAATTTCTCTGAAAGCAGGTAAACTTCACAGGTCCTACCTGTATCCAGTGCCTGAGGCTGATCATGGGATGGGTCCCACCACAGGCACTTCAAACAGCACTGCCCACAAGGTAGCTGCCACGAGGCAGAAACAAGCTTATTTTCTCTCCATCTAATAGAGGAGTGAAATGAGTTTCCTTCCAAGGCCTGCCATGTATACACTGTCAGGGAGCTGAACTGGGCTGCTGAGGCAGAGGTGCATTGACAGTGTTTGGGTGCAGGCACTGCTTGGAATAAAGGATGTGTTGTAGGTGCCCCGAGCAATACAGTCCCTTCCCCTCACTGCCAGCTGACCACTACAAGTCCCTGCACTCACACCCACCATGGTGCTTGCAGCAGGGACAGATTTGATCTATCACTGTGATCTGTCATTGAAACTTCCTGCCCAGAGTTGACTCTTACACAGGATAAGAAACCCACAGACTTGCCTTTGTTTCTCTTTCCCTCAGTACTGGCGCCAGGTGTATTTGATCACTGTGCTGGCCATGATCTTGGCAGTGTTTTTTGCTCAGATCCATCCTAGTTACCTCACACAGCAGTGGCACAGGCTGCGCTCCATCATCTTCTGCTCCGTGTCTGGCTATGGAATCATTCCCACCATCCACTGGGTTTGGCTCAATGGTGGCATTAGTGCATCCATTGTACAGGTAAGAAAAAATGAAATAAGATTCCCTTTTGCTTTTCACTTGCCATCTTCCTTGGGTCCTCTTACACTCAGGGAAGCGATGGGGAAGCAGCAGGAGTTAAAATTCTTTTGGTCGGTAGGATCCAAATGCAAACACTTAGATATGTGATCGGGGTAGACGGGTTGTATAGGTTCAGCCTGCTGTACTGCCTTAGACCTGCATGGTGAGAAGGAAGCTGGATGGAGGTGTGTCCCTGCCTGGGGCCGGAGCAGCCAAGGGGGGCAGACCACACCCTCGTTCCACCGGGCCAAGGCCAGGAGCTGAGGTGGCTGTGGAGCAGGAAGCAATCTGTCAGGCTGCATTAGTGCTCGGGGCTGGCCACCTCCACAGGGCAACCAGGAGACACTGATGGGGTGATTATTTGCTTCCTCTTCAATTCCCTGGGTTGGCAGCAGAACTCAGCATTTGCGCGCTCAGCCCGTTGTCTCTTACGCAATCCTCGTCTAATAGTACTGTGACATTATGGAACTCTTGCCCTGTTCAGGTTTCTCCACTTGGAATTACCCTGTGAAACCAGAGGCCCAGTACAGCTAAAGGCAGTGCAGTGTGCCCCAGTATGAAACCCCTGAAATCACTGCCATTTTTCAGCAACCTGATGGTGCTGAAGGAAACATTTCCTTTTCATAGTGAGCAGAAACTGCATGGTCTCAGGCTGGCCTGAGGTGAGACCCTGGGGTGATGGTTTAGCCCAGTCCAGAGCTGCTGTGGAATGTGGCAGAGCACCATTTGGGAATACACATGTGGCCTTCAGACAAGGCATTTCACACCAGCATTCTAAAAATCAGATCCACAGCAGCTGCCTCCCCCTGTCTTCCCTGCTTTGTTTCCCCTGGCATGGCAGGATGACGCCTGTGGTACACGCTGTGTTCCCACTCTTCACAAAAATGCCCCACTTAGGTAACAAAACATTCTGCTAAGGAAAACCCACCTGATGCCTGGGTTGCTGGTTATTCAGCACCCAGTGTGAGCAGTCCTGTGGCCTCAGGTGCAGCGGGCACAGTTACAGTGATAAGTGGGATGTGCAGTGCAGTCTCCCTCACCCCGACTGTTCTGTGTGGGGTCAGGGTGGTGGCAGATGGCCTTTCACTGACAAGTGCCATGTCTGCTGCAGGCTGCATGGGAACACTGAGTACCTTGTGTGTGGAAGCAGAAAGGTCAGAATAAAACAAGTTTATTCCCATTCAGGCTGTCTCAGAGTTGGGCATTTGTTTCCCTGTTGGATCTGTCCACAGCTGACATAGGCAGTGAAGGAAGATCCAGGGTTTTCATGCTGTTTTCTTCTTTATATTCAGGGACTTTCTTTTTCTGGTTTTGCTTTCTAACAGAATAGGAGAGCTTCCTTTTCTTTTGCAGGAGTTTGCTCCGCGGGTAGTTGTCATGTACTTCATCGCTGCTGTAGCTTTTCTCTTCTATATTTCCAAAGTTCCAGAAAGATACTTCCCAGGTAGGAAATTCTCTTATGGGTGTTTTTTTTTTCCTGCAGTGTCACAGTCCTTGCTGTGGGTGAACTTCCTGGGAGAGAGCAGGCTGACCATGTTCCCATGCAGAGAAAAATGGTGCACGTGTTTGCATCAGAAGGGGCAGTCAACTTCCATGGAGTTCGTTAAAGAACTTGCCCCGCCTCCCCCCAAGTGCAGGGTGTGCAGGAGCTCTGCAGGAGGCTGATTGCTAACTGCACTGCACTCGCTGTTGCTGAATTTCACAGCTTAACCCCTCGCCCTTGTTGCCCACAGGCCAGCTGAACTACCTCGGCTCGAGCCACCAGGTGTGGCACATCCTGGCAGTGGTGATGCTGTACTGGTGGCACCAGTCCACAGTGTACATCATGCAATACCGACACAGCAAGCCCTGCCCCGAGTACGGCGTGGACTTGTGAGCAAAGGTACAGCCTCGGGCAGTGGGACAGTCTAACAACCACAGGCTGAAATGATCCTGGGTTTAAGCACAGCTCACTTCCCCAGAGCAGGTGCTGACTGGTGCAATGCTTCCTGTAAAGAAAAAGCAGGGATCTGATGCCAGGCACTCTGCTGCACTGGATGAGGCTCTGTGGAGCTCCTGGGTCCTTGAGCAGTTCTAGAGCAGGCTGGACTAAGCCCTGCCAGATCCCTTCTAGGTCTGTGTCACAATTTTAATAGTCTCAAGACATCGTTAGTCTTTGTCCCTAAGTAGCCTTTTCCTGGATTTTGTGGAAATCAAATGAGTTGCTGATTTCATGTGCCCAGTAAGTGATTCACCTTGTTTCCCTGCTCTATTTCAGAGGCAACAGTGGGATTTCTGTCTCTGAGGGGCTGGACTTCACATAACAAGCTGTGCTATGGACTGAAGCACTGAGGCAGTTCCTTTCCTGACTCCTGGATTGTTACCCTCTTGCTGGGACAGAGCGTTGCCACGAGCTCTGATAAACCCACCGGCATTGCCTGGGATCTGGGAGACATTTCCTTCTCAGCCACTTGCTGTTCTGCAGTCAAGTACCAGACAGGTCTTCCTTGAGCAGGACAGTGGGAAGCTGGGCTGTCCAACTTGGCATGCAGATCTCGGTAGGACTTTTTGTTGCCTGGCAAAGACAAACAGCAGAAGTGAGTACCCCTGGCTGAGCCAACAGGGTTGGACACCAGGATTTTGGGTGTTGTTGAGGTGCACAATTAGGAGGATGCTCCTGACAGTGTGCCTGTAAAACCATGGGAACTCTGGGACCCAGTCCTGCATCTGAAGCACAGCTCTGTGGTCTGTGCATCCTTCTGCCTTTGCCCGAAAGGCCCTCTCGTGCTTTAGCATTGGTACAGGAACACGTAAACTGGAATTGAGTGGATTTGTGTCCTCTTCTGGACAAGCTCCTTCCCTTTTTCTGGAAGTTAAGATCACATCCAGCACAGCTAGATCTTCACTGCAGATCTTACAAATTGCCTCCAATAGGGTCAGTGCCATTGCTTGAAGAAATTTCTCTAGATCCCTTCAGTATTGTGAAATATTCCAGGAGAGGCACTAAGCCTGTGCGCCCATGTTTGTTGCTGTCCTGCAATCAGTGGACTTGCCTGAGTAGTGAACCTGCTGGGGATGCAAATCTCTGACCTTTGGCTTTTCCATGTATGAAAGGTTATAGTGCACTCGCAGCTGCTGTTACCCAAAAGGACTTGCTGCCATAATCCTGCCACAGTGAAAAGGCTTCCTGGAGTTTCAGGACCTGCTGTGGAACCATCGCATATAAACTCCACACCCAGGAACCATGAAATGCACAAGTTATTGGGTAGCTGTAGCTCAGCATGATTAACCTCCAGGGGTGCTGGTCTTTCCAACAGGATTGAAATCCTTTGGATTTTTGGGCTAGAGGCAACATTTTTAAGTGATTTGTATATAGCAGCTGTGCCTATGTTGACAATTTAGTCAGGCAGCAGTACCTGTTGCTGCTGCTGCACTTGCCCAAGTGTCAGCATTATCCATTTGGAGGCTGCTCCACATGCACCATGATGCCATTAGGACTAATCCCAAGTGGCTCTGTCCCCATAGTCGGAGGGGACAGGCTGGCTCTGTGAGGGGCCCTCCTCGGGGTGGGCAGTCTCTGTGAGTCCCCCAAAGCTCCCTCTGCCTGGGCTACATGAGCTCTGCTCCTCAGCCTTTCTGGTCAGGGTGTGCCAAGAACACACAGAGTAGCAGTGGAAGCTCACGGACAGGCATCTGAACAATCCTTGGGGATGGAGAAGGCAGGATACAAACTCCTCTGGAGCTTACAGACAGGCACTTGAACTCCTTGGCAATGGAGAAGGCAGGACACAAGCTCCTCCCAGTGTGCTGGTGGGGGATGCTTCTGTTCAGCTCAGAGGGCTGTTTCGGTGCTTTTTTATTGTTTTGGTTTTTTAACCCCAGAAACAAGCGTTGGCAAGAACTGACTCCACATTTACAGTTCAGCTCCCGGACCTTAAGCCTTCCAGTGTAAACACTGATTTTATATTTTTTTTTAACTTGACAACCAAGCAAGTTTCAAGTGCACTAATTACTACTACTGAAGCCTGACAAGGAACCTGCAAGTACAGAAGTAATTTCCAGTGTTATGTGTACAATAATATCTGAAGAATGTGTCTGTGCTCTGAAATCATACTGACTTTAGAGTTTACTAATGTAATTTTTTTATGGAAACTCCTAACTACTCTATCAGTTTTCACTGGATAAGGAAACTGACTGCCAAGCTGTGCATTTTTACTACCCTGACAAAATTTATCAAGCTGCATGATGGTCTTCTATGTACATAGTGAACCTGTAAATAAAGTCCAGGTCATTGGCGGTTTCCTTGCAGAAACATCACTTGTGCATCTCACACAGCAAAACAACAGATGTGAGTGGCTCAGCCATGGCACTTGTGCCACGCCTTGGGGGATAACTAGACAGGGAGACTGTCTCTGGAATTTTGGGGGAGCATCTCTAGACGAATCTGCTGATAAACTCAGGTTTACAACCTACTGCCACTACTGTTTACTAACCAAGCCCTGCTGCTGCTTCATCTGTTTCTTGACCATTTCCATTCTTATTTCAGCTCAACTGACTAAAATCAGTACAAGTAGCATTCAAAAAACCTGCTTGAGTAAACTACTGCTAGAAGGGGGTCAAACCACATAAAAGTTCTATCTAGAAGTGCAGAGCCAAGTCCACAGCAGTGGCACTGGGAGCCACACACAACCTGTCTGCAGGAAGGCTTTAAAGAGTAACACCGAACCTAAGGAATTCAAAATAGCACGTGATCCACAGGTTTTTAACCAGTTGGACAAAGCAAGACAAATGAGCAGCAAACACAAGTATTTTAAAACACTTTAAAGCCAGTGACACCACAAAATCACTCAGCAGAAACAGCACTGCTTATAATGAGTAAACCAAAGCCTAAACACAAATACCTCACAATGCAGAGTTCAAGGAGACCTGCAAAGGCACTGTTACCAGGTTTGTTTATTTAACAACTCCAAGGATTTTATGACATACATCAGCCTCACAAAAAAGTTAAAAGTTCTCTGTTTAGTGGTACACAAAAAAGCTTTAGAAACTTGAAGTCTAACAAGAAATGGAGGTGTATTTCAGGAAAGTGCACTTCAAAGCTGAATGCCAGCAATTTTAAAGTAGTTTTTATGCTCTTTAGTACTAGGTGATGCCTCAGTCACAACTTTAGCCATACACACAACTTCCTTGATTTCCTTTTGAAACAAGCACTACAGAACAGTAGCACAGCAGCCACCCTTGGCACTTGTTTTTCCCTCGCAGGTTTCCCTCATATTCACTCCAAGTCACAAACACGATTGTGGCTGCTGGGTTACCCAAACCACAGCACCTCCAAGGGGTACGTGATGTGTGCGAGCATGTGTATATTTTATATAGACTTCTCATATATAAAAATACACGATATAGGATAAAAAACTCCAGATAAACTCTTATTCTCACAGTAGCAAATACATCAACTTATTTTCACAGTACTTGGTTTAACTAACTGGGACACCCAGAGTGATCAGAAGATATTTCCTCCAATGCTGGTGCTCACGGGGCCCACACACACATGGGGCAGCCAGAGCAGTTAACTACACACCTCGAGGCCTTTGAGTCCACAGACAAGCACAACTACCTGGCTTTCCTTTCAGTGACCACAACCAATAAGGGTTTCTTAGTACCTCGGGACAGACCCCCCCCCAGCAGTTGATCCTAGAAGGCCTGTGTTCAGTCCTTCAGCATGCTGAAGGAGAAGCTGTAAAGATCCACGGGGATTTTCGGCCAGAAGGGAAGTGTCAGCCCCTTACCTTGTCACTATTGCCTTCCTGGGCAGCGTGGTACATGCCTACTGCAGCAAGGGCTTCCTTATGTTTCAGTAAGGTCACAGGGTGTTCCACGGTGAGCACACACCCCAGAAGAGGCAAAGGATATCCTGTTCCCTGACAGCCCCACATTCCAACCGCTTTGAATAGTGGATCATGGCTGAAATTAAATCCCAGCTTGGGTTTATTTGTGTATAAACAACATATACTGCACAAAGGCAGCTTAATGGGGGGCACTAATGTCTCTTCAGTCATAAGAAATTATAAAATAACTTTAGAAACAAAGGAATTGCATTTATACAAAAATCTGTTTGGTATCTCAAGTGCCAAGAACCAGGTTTGTTAAGGCCACTGGGAAGCAAATGTCACGGGCCATAACTCATGTGCACCAGAGGTGTTACACCAGCTTTAGAGAAACTGGGATTTACAGTTTGCCTTTGCCTCATCTCAGTTTGTGCTCAACCCCACTTCAGCTTTGCTGTGCTGCAATTTAACCATGTACAGACCCTCTGCCAAAATCCAACCAAACCGCCACACAAGGAAAACCTGCAGCACTCCTCAGCCTGGAGTCTCAGGGCAAACTGATAAAAACCAAACACATTTCCTTCTATTCTTAATTTACCTGAACGCTTCTGTCCACACCAGGTCTGCACAACCTTCTCCCTCTGCGTCCAAGAGCCACCACCTCTCCTCCCTGGCCCTGGAGCCAAGCCCCAGTGCCACCTGCACGCTTAACCTTTCCCGTTGCTTTCCCACTGGGAAGGCAGCAGCTGTATGGCTTTGGCAAGGACCAGCCACATTTAGGTGGTTTTACTCTCTGCTGTTTTACTTTCATTTTGTTTCTACCCCCTGCCCCATCTGTCATCTCATTCTGTTCCAAAAGCCCTTCAGGCAGGTGAGTAACAGCTCTGAAGGAAACCAGGGAAGGCAGCTCATAAGCACGTGCAGAGGAAAAAAAAAAGGAATAAGACAGTTAACCTGAGTATCAGAAAATGCTACAAAACTTGGCGTGTGCTTCTTACAGCCTTTGGCACCAAACAAACAGGTGAGAAGAGCAATAATAAAGTCTAGGAAACTCCTGTGCAAATAGAGTTGAAACATTTCTACTCAGAACCTCCTACGAGCTTAACTCCTAAGCCTGGAAAGGGCACACTGAACCACGCTCAGCTGGAATATTCCACTTGCAGCCTGTGAGAAAAATGAAACTGAGGAAGATGAAGGTAGTGATGGTGTATGGATAGCTATGAGCTTCTTTCAGACACCAGGGCGAGGGGAAGCTCTCTCACATACACCCAAGGGAGTACTTGATCAAACTGACCCCAAAGGAGTCACGTGATTTGTTTTCAATGTGTTTTGAGCAAATATTGTAAGGGATCCATACACCCCCTTCACAGATCTCAGGACCACTGTATAACCAGCAGGAGGCTTAGGGGGAAAAAAAAGCACAACCCTGAATATTTCACTTGACCTCCTGTGACAGGGGAGACATGAGGACACCCAACCCACACTGCCATCCATCCTCCATGTACAAACATCCATTACCTCTTCATTGGCATTCAGTGGAGCAGGACATAAAGGTGAGACTTGCTGAGGAACTACCTCCTTCCATGTCCTTGAGGATGGCCATGGAACCCAGGCAGACTGGGCTGTCCCGAGGGGCGCTGGCTCCAGACAGTGTCCATGGCTCGGCACGAGCCTACACACAGCACCAGCTTCTCTACAACAGGAATGAAACCCTGTCCTCAGCAGTGCTCACAGTGCCTCCCCACCACCTCATGCCCCCGAGGTCCTGGGCAGCACAACAGGGGTCCTGCTCCTAAGGCTCTGTGGTGTGAATGCAGCTCACTGGTCCAGCAGCCACCAGCTCCTGCTGGGCTGGAACACAGCTGGGAGCAGGGAAGCAAAACTTACAAGAGCATTCATTAGGTTACAGTCATTTCATAAAACTATTATTGTACAAAACAACAGCCTTCAGAGAATACACATTTTCTTTGCAATAAAAATCCAAGAGGAAAAGGTATTTTCAGACACAAATCCCGATTTGTAATCCAATCACAGTCACCCCACAGTCAACTGTGCAAGTCAACTAAACACTCTATATGTGCCCAAGGATAAACCAGCCCCTCTTCCAGTGTGCTGAGGAGTCTCCCAAGTGCTGCAAACACTGACTGTGTCCCTGCTGGCTCACTCTCCTACATTCAGGCTTCTCACAAACCAGTATATTTTCTGTATCTTTAGTTTTGACTCTAAAGTTCCAGTTTGCTATTTTACATTAATGGCACTTACTGTAAAAAAAAAAATTGACCATTTAGGCACACAAAAAAATAATGTGCCTTTCATCTCTGCAGCTGCATAGATGTCTGCCAGGTCCCAAGCCATAGCTGTGCTCTGGAATTCTGGGCCACAACCCCTTGAGGACATGGCTGCTTTATCTTTTATGATTAATAAAGGTAGTTTTCACCTAGGAAGCAAAGACTATTTCCAGCAGACAATCTGGATATTAGTATGTCTTGGTTCTTAGGTCTGCTCTGACTGAAACACGAAGAACCACTGCAGTTCATTACCCCCCTGTACATATGGAAAACATTTTCCATGTGCTCCCTCTGCCTGTTCCCCTCCACCTCGGCACATGGCAGAGGGCTGGAAAGGCAACACCAAAGTGCAGAATGACAGTATGTCCCACAGCCCCCAAGTCAGTGACAGTGATTCATATCCAACTCCTCTTTCCATTCCGGGAGCCATCTGCCATAACAAAATGGTCCTCCTAGTTTGTTTTTTCTATTTTTCAAAAAAAAAAAAAAAAGAACACCAAAACCTCCAATCAGAATTAGCCATCATTCACAATTCCACTGTGCAAGCGGGCCATGCCCTGTTGAACCTGAACAAGCTGCACAACCAAGGTCCCTGTCACTTCAACCACATAAATTACTCCACTAAACCTTTATTAAGGGACTTGGAGAGGATGGGGGGAACCCACTGGAAGCCTTTACTGTTTAGAAGGAAACGGAGCTGCTCCAAATGGATCTAACTCCAGTGCCTGCTGCTGGCTCTGTGCACTCTGCACGACCAGCTCTGTGAAGGGCACCGCACCAAAGTCGTCTGTTTTGAGCCCGTCCCCACCATGAACGGCCCCGTGCAGGGAGCTCTGCCTCGGCCTGCCGGCCACGACGACTGTGCCGAGGTCCCCGCGGCTGTCCCCAAAGCCCTGGTGCTGGGGGTGCCGCAGCAGCTCCGGCGGGTGGAAGGGCTTCGCCCCGAAGGGATCCAGCAGACTCTCGTCTGTCTGCAGAGGGTTGGTTCGGTCCTTGCTGTCGGTCAAGGCCACGCTGATGTTCTCCTTGGAGTCCGAGATGGTGAGGAACTCGTTGCTGCTCTGGGAGTCCCTACGTCCCGCCTTCTTGTGCCGGCGGGCTCGCTCTGGTGTGCGGTAGCTCGGCTTCAGCCCCTTCTTTGTGGTGGTGGGGGTGCCGTGGTGGCGCTTCCCGTTGCTCTTGGACA